TGGGGTTTTCCTTTAACTGGATTGTGGAAGGATGTTAATAATGTCTGTCTTTTTTGATCCATAACTAGTATTTTATTTAGATTATAATATATTCTTGATTTTTGTCTGATTATCTATTGATAAATAGCTTCAAAAGTGTGGATTATTGGCAGTCTTGTCCCTGCTCCATTGCAATATAAAATTAATGTTCAAAAAGACTTTCTTTCCTTTTTATTTTAAAATCTGGAGAGTTTTAATGTCAATATAAATAACATTGCTCCCTAATGTAGATGTGAGTTGAAATCCATCCTTTTAAAGTGTATTGATATTGGATAGACATTATACAGAGTATTGCAGAACACAAACATTCAAAAATCTGGAGTCTGGCTGAAAAAGTTGAGAGAGAAAAAAAGTGTGTTCTGTGCCTGCTTAATCTTAAGGATTCACATTTTGTAACTTTTTAATGCAACTATGATGACTCAAAACTCTTTTTATAAGACAGGTGAGATTCTGATAGCACCCGGCTCCAAAATTTGAATATAAGAAAACAAAATATTAATTTTAAATAAAATCTCAAGAATTGTCAGTATGCAAAGTTATTACATCAATATTTAAAATCAGTGCCAGCCACAGTTTGAATAGGCACTGCTCAAGCTTTCTCACAAATCTGGCAGTGCTTCTCAATTCTGATCAGTAACACACTTTAGTACTTAAGCTCTGGTGACTGTAGAAAGGCTTTAGTTTTTGCTAAATTACAATAATAAAATAAAAGAGGACTGAAGATGAAACCACCAAGAGAACACAACTGGTCAAAAACTTTGTATAGTTACCAAGCACCAAACCATCAATTGACAAATCTAGAATACCAGCTTCAAATGTAAAATTTTATTTTTAATGTATAGTATATTTATACCATGGTTATAATGTAATATACAATTACAAAAGTAAAGTCAATAAAGATGAAATGATACTACTTTGACCTTTAGCAAAATCTTAATGAAACAAAAATCTAAAATCTAAAATTTTCTTCTGTAGACAACTTCAAAATATTAGTGTTTCTTTTCCAGATCTGTTCCTTTTAGTGGAAGACACCAGTAAAATAAGTGAAAAAATCTTTTTTCTTTTGAATGGGATTTCTAGGTTTAGTGTCCTCTGCATACACTCATTGTTGGAGTACACTAAAGGCTTCAGTATGTGATCCAAAATCTGGGGTTGAACAGGGTCCTGTGACTGTTAGACAGCCTTTTCCCCCAACAAAATTGTTTTACACGAGGTAATGCCAAATTCCCATTGTGTCCTTCAGTGGAAAATGATTCTAGGTTGAGGAAGATGGCAGGACTGGCTTATGCTTCCTTGGATGTCCTGGCTCTACTGGCTGACTCCTAGTCCTTATCCATACCAGCCTAGAATATTGAACTCTCTGGTGTTGGAGCATCTTTCAACCTAATCTGTGGATCTGAGAGGTTTGGAATGAGCAGAATTTCTCTTGCACTATCCCCTATTTTTAGAATTTTCTGAGGATTACTAGGAGGGACCTCCGCAGGATGACTTTCAACATCTCAGATGCAGATTGCCTCATCTTCTAATGACAATATTAGGATACAGACTGCATCTTCTTCCTCTGAGGATGCTGTGATGTATTTGGTCATATCCCCTTGAGACTGTCACTTGATGTGCTGAAGTACCACGGAGTCTGCCTAACTGCTTTCTGGGGCATCCCACCAGCCTGTCCTGCTGAGCTAAACCCTCTGGATTCCTCCAACCCTGGAACAGAGTTGGGCTTTCAGCCCACAGCAGAGCAACAAAGAGAATGAAATCAGCTCAACTCTAGGAATCAGCTTAGTCCAACACTTTACACAGAACCCAGGAGCAGCCTCAATGGAGCCAGAACCCCAGATAAATCCGGCTTAGTCTGCATAAAGTTTTATACTGAGCAAGCTCATGAATTGTTCACCTCCTTTATCAGCGAAAGACCTATGAACATAAGATAAGAACATAAGAGCGGCCATACTGGGACAGACCAAAGGTCCATCCAGCCCAGTACTCTGTCTGCCGACAGTGACCAATGCCAGGTATCCCAGAAGGAGTGAATCAAACAGGTAATGATCAAGTGATCTCTCTCCTGCCATCCAAAACAAACTAGGGACACCATTCTTTACCCATACTGGCTAGTAGCCATTAATGAACTTAACCTTTATGAATTTATCTAGTTCTCTTTTAAACCCAGTTATAGTCCTAGCCTTCACAACCTCCTCAGGTATGGAGTTCCACACATTGACTATGTGCTGTGTGAAGAGCAACTTCCTTTTATTTGTTTTAAACCTGCTGCCCATTTGGTAGCCCCTAGTTCTTATATTATGGGAACAAGTAAATAACTTTTCCTTATTCACTTTCTCCATGTACTACTCATGATTTTATATACCTCTATCATATCCCCCTCCTTAATCTCTTTTCCAAGCTGAAAAGTCCCAGTCTCTTTAATCTCTCCTCATATGGGACCCGTTCCAAACCCCTTATCATTTTAGTTGCCCTTCTCTGACCCTTTTCTTAATGCCAGTATATCTTTTTTGAGATGAGGAGACCACATCTGTATGCAGTATTCAAGATGTGGGCATACCATGGATTTATATAAGGGCAATAAGATATTGTATAAGGGCAAAAGGATATTCTGTATCCTTTTTTTAATGCACAACATTTGTCCCTGCCAAGTAAGAATTACTTACACTGGGTTTATTAATAAACTGACTTTTATTTAGTATAAAAAGTAGATAGATCAAAGTAAGTTACTAAGCAAAGTAAAACAAAACATGCCAGCTAAACTTTGTACTTAAACTTGTTACATGCAATTTCTTACCCTAACAGTCGTTCTAATAATCTTTTCTCACAAGCTGGGAAGCCTGCCAACTTGGGCCCGATCCTTTCCTCTGTTCAATCTTGGATGTGTCCAGCAGTCATCCTAGGTAGTAAGCAGTTATATCCTGGTTTCTGGCAGACACCCACGTTGTTTTGTTTCCCATCTTTTATATCTCTTTTGCCAAAGACATTAATTCTTTGAATTTAGTTTAAACTTTTCACACTTCCAGTGGAAAAGTACAAAATCCAAAATAGGTGACCTGGCCACATGTCTTGGCAGGACCAACCATAGTCCAGGCTTTCAGGAAAATCAAGACTATAGACTATTGTTCCAAGTATCAGGCCATTCATGTTTCTTTACTACTGCTGGCCCTTACTTACCTGTTCACTAATCTAGATATAGAATGCACAGGCAGTCCCTGGGTTACGTACAAGATAGGGACTGTAGGTTTGTTCTTAAGTTGAATTTGTATGTAAGTCGGAACTGGTACATATTGTAGGGGAAACTCTAGCCAAACATTTCTCCAGAGCTCAGTTTTATTCTCCCACACCTCACTTCCCTCAGTCCTTTATTCTCAAGCTGAGGTGTCTGCTGAGAAAAGCCACTCCGCGTCTCCCTGGTCTGCTGGGGGGGGCGCTAGCTTCGCGTCTCCCTGGTCTGCTGGGGGGAAGCAGCTAGTGCGGGGTTGCCTCACCCCGTTTGTAAGTAGGGATCCGATGTAAGTCGGATCCATGTAACCCGGGGACTGCCTGTACTTCATATTTCTTACTTCAAATACATGCACAGAAATAGAATATTCACATTCAACAGATTATAACTTTACATAAGCATCTTCCACTTATGCCTATTCATATTCATAAGTTCTTTCCATAAAGAATATGGGGTGCAATGCCATAGATGCAATTGAGTTTAATAAACTGGGGGATAGGAGGGCATCAACTTAAAATTTGGCATCCGTAGCTTTGGAAGAGAGTTTTGATATCTTGAGATCTACTGCAAAATGTGCTTTGCAGATTGATGTTCTCTGCCTACCTTTCCTGCTGCTGCAGGGTCCTAATTCTGTAGTTACTCAGTATTGCACTTCAGAGGTTGGAAGGAACTGAAGTGGCAGTGGCATTTGTTGTTCCATACAGTTGTGCCCTGAGTCTGCATGAGTGCTGCTGGTGGATGGAGAAAGGGCAGGGTGAGCCACTACAAGATGGTACCATTGTCTTGTCAAATCTGGTGGGTGCATTCTATAAGTGTGAATATGCAAAGTCCATCTCAAAGAACTGTGCTTTACCGGAAAATAGTCTTTTCTGACCTTTGGGAAATATAGTCCAACTCTGGATGTTACAGTAGACCAGTGGTCCCCAACTTTTAGAGGCTGTCGGGCGCCAGGGGGCGTGGCCGTTTGCCTGCTGGGCACCAGAGAGCGGGGACACATGCATGCCAGCCCCCCCCCATAGCCACGTGCTCGGGGGCGGGGCCCCCCTGCAAGCGCTGTGCGCCCGGGGCAGGCGCTCCTCCCAAGCGCC